ATTTTACAATAGTAGGCAAGGGAAACTAATATTCATAAGACAGTCAAGCATCTTAATATTCTTTCCCCTCTTCAAACTATGCCTAGATCCCTGTATCCCAGAGCCCTGTTGTTCCAAGGTTGAGCATGCATCACTATTTACCTCTGTCCCACTAGGCCATGCAAATTTGTCTCAGTGTTCCCCTATCTATCTTGTTCTTCCATCTCCTCCCCCTTTTTGTATTTCCCTCTCCAACACCTGAACTAAAACCCCACCGTTGTGGTTATCTTATATTCCATTAACTTTTCCCTCCATTTAAGACAGTCTAATTTTATCCTGTAATCTACCTGACCTTCTCACCACCTGGATCTCTGCTCCTCTGTGTTACCTTCTTTCACACTGTAATTGTTTTGATTATAGACTGATCTCCCAGATCTTCTGTTCTTATAATTTTATTCTGTTCTTGACTCTTCCACTAGACAATTGAGTGCCACATACGTCAATCTCTGGTTGTTGTCTGTTCTTGTTGGTTTTCAGTCTACAGAACTCCCTTTGGGATGTTTTTCATCACAGGGCTGGCTTTGGCATAATCCCTTAGCTTCTGTTTATCCTGGAATGTTTTGATTACACTGTGGCATTTGATTGATAGCTTTGCTGGGTAGAGGATTCTTGGTTGGCAGTATTTTTTTCTTTTAAGGTTTTGTATATGTCTCCCCATTGCTTTCTTGACTACATGGTTTCTGCTGAGAGATCTGAGCTTAATCTGATTTGCTTGCCTTTGTATGTTACACTTCTCTTTTCCTTAGCTTCTTTCAAGATTCTGTCCTTATCTTTGATTTTGAAGAGCTTGATTATGATATGTCTTGGTAATTTTCTTTTAGGGTCTATCCTTTTTGGGGTTTGTTGAGCTTCTTGAATGCTTATCTTTTCACTTTTCAGGATGTTAGGGAAATTTTCTTGCAGAAGCTTTTTAACTATCTCGTCTGTGGACTTGTGTGATTCTTCCTGTTCCAGAATGCCTATAATTCTTAAGTTATTCCTCTTCATACTGTCCAACATAAATCTTAGGCCTTCTTCAGATTTTTGTAATACTTTTTTGTGTTTGCTCTTCTATCTTAGTAGTGTTGAGAAATTTATCTTCTAGCTCACTAGTTCTGGCTTATAACTCTTCAGTGTTACTCCTTTGCACTTTCAGTGTATTGTCCATTTCTGATATTCTATTATGAATCATTTGGACCTCTTTCTGTAGGCTTTGAATTGTTTCCAATGCTGTATGTATCTTATTTGTTTGTTATTGTAGTGCTTTCCTGACTTTTTCCTTATTTTTCTCAACTCCATTGTGAAGTGTTTCAATACATGTTATAATCGTTTTTCTGAATTCCTTCTCAAACATTTCCAAAGCCTGCCTACCTTCCAGTATGGAGGTATGTCTACATCCAGCTCATTTGTCTCAGTCACTTTATCTTGTTTCTGGACATGTGCTGATATGGTCATCTGTTTCTGTTTTTTGGGCATATTTCAGGAGTTAGCTGTGGCCTTACCACTTAGATGGGTGTATATTTTTGTATTTTTTATGCTTTCTGATTGCCTTCAGGTAGAAGTGATCAGAAGATGGGCTTCCCTTTTCACTCTTATTCCTGAGAAATTTCAAGATGCCACTGTTGGTCATGATGACATAACTCAAGATTTAATTTTTGGCCTATTTCCTTTTCAGTCTGCCTGTCCTGCTCCACAACCCCCATTCAGGCCTTTTTCCTAGTGATAAACAGTTCAGGGACAGTTGTGTCCATTTTGCACTGCCGTTTGGTGTTAAGTGGAAACTGTCTCTTTAAATTTTGAGGAGATCGGTGTGCATGCGTAGTAGAACCATCCAGGGGTGGGAGTGGGGTGACCATTAGCTCCAGCACCCCCTCTAGTCACCAGAATGGAGGTGCAAAGACATTGAGTGACCAATGTTCAGATATGAAAAAAAGAATGTTCACACCTTTATCTCTGCAGTTCTGTCAGGTGTCCATGGCTGCTCTGATCCTTCCCCTGCTTGGTCTCTCCCAAGATGGCGGCTCTGGGAGCAGCTGAGCATCTTGAATTAGAAAGCAATGGATTTCTTGCTTCTGCTACAAATTCCCCTAGCTGTAAGCCTTCCAACCTTCTAAATATTCCTTTATACGTGGTTCAGAGTTCTGGGACCATCCCCTGAGTCTGCTTGGTCCAATATTCTGTGTTGTTGCTGATGGAGCTCCTCACTGCACTTCCATCCAATCCGCCATCTTGTTTGTTCTCTGATCATTTAATTTTATAGGCATAGGTAACATGTAACTATGCCAGTAGAGTCATACAACTAGAAGCGAGATTTTAGTAGGCATAAAACTAATGGGTCACAAGCTAATAAGACATTATTTCTTCAAATATTCAGCTGTTAAAATGAGAGAGAAACAGAACAGTAGATAAAGAGGAAGTTCAGACTGGGGGTAATGATATTTTGTATGTTTTTCTGTTTTACAAGGATGGGAGTAATGTCTTCATGGCATCCAAATCCTAACAGCAGCCCTGATCTCAGAGTCTTATATTCATATGAATGTTTATCACATCTTGAAATTAGCCCAGGCAACCCAAATTTGATATTTGATCACCTTCTTCTCCTGTATTCTACATTACTTCTCAATAAGCCAAACTAGAAGCCTTCGCCAATCACTTCTATGGTGCTGTAGGCTAAGCACTTGACTGCGAGGTCAGTTTGAACTGCAAGGTAGCCACTTTTCAGAAACCCTATACAGGGTCGTTATGAGTTGAAACCAACTTAATGGTACTTAACAATGATCTATATATTTGAAATATGTTCCCTGTACCCTCCTTTCTGTTCTTAAGTACAGATTTAATCTCTTAATTTGTCTCCATCCTCTAATCTGCCTCAGAATTTTCTAAAATAAGAATCTGACACAGTCACCTTTCTACTTCAAATGACCACCCACTCTACACAAGTTAAATATATAAGCTCCTAAATGTAAAGAAAACAAAAATCTTCACCACTGGACCAATAAACAACATTCTTCTCAACGGAGAAAAGATTGAAGTTGTCAAGGACTTCATTCTTCTTGGATCAACTATCAACACTAATGGAAGCAGAAGTCATGAAATCAAATGATGTATTATTGGATTAGACAAATCTGCTGCACAAGAACTTTTTCAAGTCTTGAAGAGCAAAGATGTCAGCTTGAGGACTAAGGTGCGCCTGACCCAAGCAATGGTATTTTCAGTAACCTCATATGCATGCAAAAGCTGGAGAATGAATGAGGAAGACCATAGAAGAATTGATGCCTTTGAGTTATGGTGTTGGAGAAGAATATTGAAAGTGCCATGGGCTGCCAAAAGAACCAATAGATCCGTTTTGGAAGAAGTGCAGCCAGAGTGCTCCTTGGAGGCCAGGATAGCCAAACTTTGTCTGTCATAGTTCAGCCATATTTCCAGAAGGGACGAGTTGCTGGAGGAGGATATCATGTTTGGTAAGGTGGAGGGTCAGAGAGAAAGAGGAAGACTTCCAATGAGATGGATTGGCAAAGCGGCAGCATTGATGGACTCAAATGTGGCAACAATTGTGAGATTGACAATGTTTCGTTCTGTTATGCATAGGATCGCTATAAGTCAGCATCAACTCGATGGCAGCTACCAACAACAAGTAGTCCTGGTGTGGTGTTGTAGGATAAAGCACTAGATTGCAAGGCCGGTTTGAACCACAAGGTCATTGGTTCAAACTCACCAGCTGCTCCTTGGAAATCTTATACAGGGTTTCTATGAATCTTCTGGGGCATTCATTCATGACCTAACCTCTCACTTCCAAAGATGACTTCTCTTTAGTAGTACCAACATGACTGCAGTTCCCTGAACATAGCTCTTCATACTTACTGCCACTGTTCCTACTTTCCCCTTTTATCTGAAATCTTTAGCTAACTCTTAGCTATCTTTCATAACACCAGTTGTACTAGGTTTTTATGGGTGTCATAATAAATTATTACAAACTTGCTAGGTTAAAACAAACACACATTTATTTCGTTAGAGCTGTGGTGGCTAGATGTCTAAAATCAGATTCACTGAGCTAAAGTCAAGGTACTGGCAGGGCTAGGAGAGAATCCATGTCCTTGTCTTTCCCAACTTCTAAAGCTGCATTCCCTGGTTCAAGGTCCTTTCCTCCATCTTCAAAGCCAGCAGCATAGTAGCGCCATTGCCTTCTGTGTGACAAATATTCCTCTGCTTTCCTTTTAGAAAAAACACTTGTGATTACATTTAGGGCTTACCAGATAATTCTGGTTATTCTTTCTATATCACAATCTTTACTTTAAACATGGCTGTAGAGTCTCTTTTACATTGTAAAGTAACATTCACAGGTTCCAGGGAATATGAACTGGATATCTTTGGGAATCACAATACACGTTGTAAACATTATGTTGTTTACTTAACATTCTCTTAAACTCTTCATCACTTACCAGGGTGATTAACAACCTACATATTATAATCATAGAATTCCCCTCATTAATTGAAAATGTCTACCTTTAGCTCTTCCTACATGGACTATGAGCTCCTTGAGGTCTATATTTTTTTCTTGCTCTTATTTGCACCTTTGTGTTTAACATAATAATCTGGTACATGGTAGTTGCGCCAAGGCTTGTTGAATTGAACTGAGCAATGGGAAGGCGAGAGCAAAGAGGTCCAAGAGAGCATGCAGCAGAATTTTGAAAAAAGATAGCAGGGACAGTGTAAAAAGAACATACTGAGGATTAACTTTGAATAGAAGCAATACCTTTAACTTTGAACCTAAGAGAAAGCAGGTAAAGATGGAGGTAGGCACAGGTGGTAGGAAATGTGGAAAATTTTAGGTTGAGGAGTTATTTTCTTTGTTAAGTAGGTGATTGGATGATGTAAGTGTTCAATCAATTTGGAGAAAATAGTGGCAGTTGAAGAAACACACACAGGATCTATTTGCTGGCAAAATAGATGCACACCTTAAACACAAATAGCCTACAAGGACTTGTCAGCTCATAAGGGACTCATTCATATACTTGAAATTCTTTTTCGATACAAAGTTTTAGATGCTCTTGGATTATTTTCTCTGATCATATCTGTAAACACTTTTGCCTGAAGGTCTTTGCTTTTCTGTGAGGCTGCAGATTTGCCATCGGTTCTGGGGATGGTCATTGCGATACTGCTATTGTTGGAGTCCAGAGAAGCATGGCTCATAGCAATGCTGCCAGCACTGTGGGAAGAGTAAGTGTAAATCATCTGGAGAAAGGCAGATTTTGTGTTGGTCTCTCGCTTCCAAAGAATAACATAACATTTGGGGAAGAATGTGCAGCACATGATCCCATAATTTGATATCAGAATGATGATCATCTCCACTGCTGGAAGATATTTGCCAAATGTGTTAGCATAGACCGGGATGAATGTGATCCAAGCGATGAAGTAAATGAGCATACCAAATGTTATGAATTTGGCCTCATTGTAATTCTCAGGTAGTTTCCTGCCTTTGAAAGCAAATATGAAGCAAATGAAGGCCAGAATAGCAATATAGCCCAGCATGGTGCCAAATGCAACTATGGATCCTTCCTCACATTCCAGGATAATGACTCTGGGCAAGGAGACATTCTCTTCTACTACAGGGGCAGCAAAGATTAACCAGAGTGTGCAGATGACAATCTGGAGACCTGTACAAGTGAAGATAATGGGGACTGGTTTGTAGAGGCACTTCAGGAAATTCTGCAATTTAGGATCAAAGCTAAAGGCTAGCAAAATTTTCAGAGACTTCATCAAAATGCAGGTGATACAGAGAGTGAAGCTCACGCCAAACAGTGTTTGTCTAGTTTTACAAGTGAAATTTTGTGGTTCTCCAATGAAAAATCCTGTGCTGACAAAGTTAAGGAAATGACATAGGAGAATTACATAGCAGACCGTCAATCCCCCGGATGATTTCACAATGGGTGTGTTCAGATTTCTTGTAAATATTATGCCGATGGCCAGAACAAACAGGATACCCAGGAGGGAGAGGCCCAGGAGGAGGATAGCCAGGGAGTCACTCCAGTTGAGATACTCAACTTCCTTTTCATAGCATTTGGTGCTCCTTGTAGGAGCCCAGTGAGTTTCATTGTTACATAAAAGGCAGTGGTCCATATCTAAAAGACAGAGGAAACTCAATTACTTTGTGGACATTTAAACTACGTGATAGTTTAGAATATTATTAATGAGACTCTTTTTATGAAGCAGACTTGACTAGAAAGCACATAAAGATTATTGTCATATTGATTACATATTAAAATCAAATAGGCACAGAACTCATTGAAGGTGACAGAGAAGGATCAAAGGTAAGAGAAGAGGGAGAGGGAAAGAGAGAGAAAGAAAGAGCAAACATCAGCTGAGCTATTAGTAACTAGGAAATTAATATACTCAGGATACTTGCTAGCCTTTTATGATTTTGTTATTGGTCTCTGTTAAGAGAATGGGCTATGGAATCAGACGTAGCTCAAGTCATTTTGCCAGTTATGCCATCTACTATGGAGTCCTGGTGTGATGCTGTGGACTGCAAGGTCAGTTTGAACTGCAAGATCAGCAGTCCAAGCTCACCAGACGCTCTGTGGAAACCCTGTACAGGGTTGCTATGAGTCGGAGCTGACTCCATGGCACTTAACAACAGCCACTTACTATGATTGTGAATTTGAATAAACCATGTAACCATGTAAACTTTCTGAATCTCTTTCCAAATCTCTTTAAAAAAATTTTTTTTTTTTTTTGCTTGATTGGGTTGCTGCATTCAGTGAGATAATGCATAAAAACTTCACATGGAGTCTGGCACATAGTAGGGCCTCAGTATGTAGGAGTTGCTGTTATGAATAAGGTTGGAATTCTTCTAAAACCAAAACAAGACAGTGTGAAGTCTCTTCCTAAAAGTGATTACAGAAAACTGTAATCAATGGCAGTTGATGAAGAAATAAAGTTTCTGTTTCTCTAGGAAATTACTAAAATTAAGCCTCTCGTACTGATAAGCTCCCAAATTATTTATGCTGATTCTGACTGCAAGTACGGTATGAATAATTGGTATTAGAGTGGAGTCTTAGTAGGCGTGATTGCATTTCCTCCCCATTTGTATCCCTTGAAGATGGTGGGTCCCAACTGCTTCTAAAAAGCCTATCTCAGGACATCTATGTGATTAAACTCCCCAGTGCCCATTTAACCTTTAAAAATCTCTATGCCCTTTTCCTTATTAGCCTCATAATCAGGTTTCATTTCTGTTTATGGACTTTCTGACCTTTCTAACATGTTTCTCTTTCCTAAGCCTACGCCTGTTGCTGTTGACTCAGTTTTGTGTATCCGAATAGAACTAAATTCCATATTGTCATCAATGGCTGTGATCTTATACATTTATACAGGCCTTTTTCTATGGCACCTGTGACTGAATTTTATCTGCTAAATGTTCTGTTAGTAGCCAAGTTCAAACCTTTTGCACAATCCAGGGAACTCTTTCAAATCCTACTTCTTTATAAAGAATTTTTTTCCTTTCTATTCCTTGAGCAAATAATCTGAGAAGTTGGGTTATATGAAGAAAAACATAGCATTAGGATTGGAGGAAGACTCATTAACAACCTGCGATATGCAGATGTTATAACCTTGCTTGCTGAAAGTGAAGAGGACTTTAAATATTTACTGATAAAGATCAAAGAGCACAGCCTTCAGTATGGATTGCATCTCAGTGTAAAGAAAACAAAAATCCTCTCCACTGGACCAATAAACAACATTCTTATCAACGGAGAAAACATTGAGTTGTCAAGGACTTCATTCTTCTTGGATCAACTATCAACACTCGTGGAAGCAGCAGTCAAGAAATGAAACGATGTATTGCCTTAGGCAAATCTGCTACACAAGACCTTTTTAAAGTGTTGAAGAGCAAAGACGTCAGCTTGAGGACTAAGGTGTGCCTGACCCAAGCCACGATATTTTCAATAACCTCATATGCATGTGAAAGTTGGACAGTAAATAAGGAAGACGTAGAATAATTGATGTTTTTGAGTTCTGGTGTTGGAGGAGAATATTGAAAGTGCCATGGGCTGCCCATAGAACCAACAGATCTGTGTTGGATGAAGTGCAGCCAGAGTGTTCCTTAGAGGCTAAGATGGTCAAACTTCGTTTCTCATACTTCGGACATAATGTTAGGAGGGACCGGTTGCTAGAGAAGGATATCATGTTTGGTAAGGTGGAGGGTCAAAGAAAAAGAGGAAGACCCCCAGCAAGATGGATTGGCCAAGTGGCAGCATCAGTGGGCTCAAGCGTGGCAACAATAGTAGGCTGGCCCAGGATTGGGCAGTATTTCATTCTGCTGTGCACAGGGTCGCTATGAGTCAGCACCGACTTGATGGCACCTAACAACAAACAACAAACTCCTTGACCACTGTTGCTAGTATCTGCCATTTTATTCATTTAGTGAATATTTACTACCCTTTTCTATAGGAGCTCTAGTAGTATAGTGGTTGGGAGTTAGGTTGCTAACTGCAAGGTCAGCAGTTTGAATATACCAGCCATTCCACAGGAGAAAGCTGAGGTTTTCTGCTCCCGTAAGTATTCGCAGCCTCGGAAAACCTACGCAGGTTGGCCATGACTCATAGTCGATTGCATGGCACATAACCACCACCCAGAGTCATTGTTGGTGTTTGGTATTGCAGTGCAAGGGATTACTTCATATAGCTCTTCTACCCATAGTCCTTGTAACTCCCACAAAACAATTTTCTCCTGACAGATTTGGGTAAGAATAGGTAGAAGAAGATAGTTATTGGATGATACGATTTTGTTGTGAATGACTGTTAACAGAGTTAACTGAGATTGTAAAAACTTGGAACTCTAACATAGTATAATATGAGCCATTTCAGAAGCAGGAGGGGTATCTCACTACCATCAAGAAGAAAGAAGCATGTGTCATTTGGACACTGAGATACTTGTGTTTTGAACATCCTCAACCCAGGGGACAGAGCTGTGGCACCAGAGGAGAAACAGCAGCAGAACTAAGAATCAGAGGACAAGACACAGGGTGGACTTACAGCTCATGGAGTTAGTAAAGTTGAGTGACTTTGGGTAGACGGCTTGTTTGCAGACTGGTATGCCTCTAGGCACTTAATTGGGGAGCTAGTTTTGCTGACCCATGGAGCTAGAGCTGAGAGCCTTCAGACTGAGGCTTATGGTGGAATGGTGTGTACTTTGTAACACTGTAACACTGCCTGGGCAGAAAGAGAGAGGTCTACCTGTGGGCATGGATGAGAAGAGGCTGTCCTGATTGGAACAATTGTGCCTTGAGCATTTCTGACCCTGAATTGTAACCTGTTGACTTCCCTAATAAATCCCATAGCTGTGAGTGTGGTGTCTGAGTTCTGTGTGGCCCCTGCAATGAACTATTGAATCTATAGTTGAGTAGTGAGCATTAGGGACAAATGGTTTGGTGCTCTTTTATTTTGCAAGCATTTAGAGAAGATTAAGATCTCAGATTATTCTAACTCTGTTTTTCCTCCAAAGCATCCTCAGTTGTCTATACTTGTTTATGGAAGTAATTTGTCCTGGTTATGAAAGATAACCCAGATTAGATTTTGAAACACTCTTCTACATCTTGTTGGGAAATAAATGCAGTTTTTACTTATTCCACTTAGCTAATTACTGTATTGTTGATAATTACTATATTACTTAAACACTCCACCCCATTATCTAACTATTTAGGTAGCATAATCCATCGTAGTTTGGAATAAATGATATTTTTGTGACACAGTGACAACATGAAAATTGGGATATTTACATTGATTTACTTCTGCATCCTTGAAACTAATAAGAAAAAATGAACTGTAACCTTTCTTAGTTCAGGGTTGCTCAGCTTTTGTAGAAGATGAACCGGAATGCTTTAAAGTAGATTTAACCCTAAGGAAAGTGGTGATAGATCCTTTTAGGGTTCCTAATTCTAATGATTTCACTTTTTTTGTTCTTTGTATACTTTGCCCTGATCTGGTAAAAATTTTAAAGATAGAGTTGTCAAACAATCAATTACTAGTACCTCATCTCTGTCAATAGATGGTCCCCTTGTCTCAAACAAGGTTCTTTCTTTTTTAGGTTTAACTTTATTTTTTTATTTACATTTTTGTAGGAACAGTGAGATCTCCAGGGCAAATCATAGCTGAATTTCTATTAGCCTTTTATTTATTTATATTTATTGTGCTCTAATTACAACTCAAAGGAGCTCTGGTAGCGTAGTGGTTACGAATCGGACTGCGAACCTTAAGGCCAGCAGTTTGAAACTACCAGCTGTTCCGCGGGAGAAAGATGAGGCATTCTGCTCCCGTAAAGATTTACAGCCTCGGAAACACTGTACAGAGTCGCTATGGGTCGGAACCAACTCGACAGCACTTAACAACAACAACAACAATTACAACTCAAACATATCTGCATGGAGATACGTAGACAGAAATCCACAAAGTACTTTCATTTTATCTTAAGATTTTCTGGAGAGGTGAGAGAATGACATCTTGCTTTGGAAGTCAAGCTACTTTTACATCTGTTATTTATTGGCTGTGTGCTATTTACATAATACAGCAGATTCCACAACCTTATTGGAAATTAAATTATCAAAAGCATGGGAATATTTTTTTATCAAATGGAAAAACTAACCAAAATAGGATTCAAGTTAAAAAAAAAAAAATCAGCTTAGGATAAATGGTTGGATATATCACTGTGTGCTGCTGTGTCTGTAATTACCTGTCTGATTAGTGTAGTGATTCTCAGGACAATTCACACATTCATAGCAACAAATATGTTGATTTCTTGTAATTTTCTTCATTTGTCCAGGACTACATTCCTTGGAGCATCTAGACTGAATTTTCTGTATTAAAAGTAGAAAAGAAATCCCAAACAGATTTTGAAAAAGAATTATCATAGCTAACTTTAACATAGTTTACAACATTTCATTCTTTTTCCATATAATAGACTTTTTTTTTTTTTTTGACAGCTTAAGGAATGTGAACAACTTTAAGAAATGTAAACTTTTTCACATACAGTAACTGCTCTAGGAAGAACACAGCTTTTGTCACACTAAAAACTTCTACAAGCAAATTTTGGGAATTAGTTCTTTTAGAAATTCCAGCAGAGAGAGAAATGTGTAGTGGTAGAATGAAAGAAGGAAAAGATGGTCTGGAAACTCCCAATTCTGTACTTTATAAAAAATTTAACTAAATAAGAAATTATGGGGCTCTTATATTCTTTAGAAGAAAATAACTAATCATGCTGTGTAAAAGTCCAATTCTAAAGACTATGCTCAGTTTAAATCTAAAAAGCGTAAGAATGGGCCATATTTTAATGTAAAACTACTACAGTGGAAGCTGGATTCCTGGTGTGGTGCTAGACTTAGAGCCACAAGGTCAGTGGTTCACACCTACCAACAGCCCTTTAGAAACCTTATATGGGGTCACTATAAGTCCGAACTGATCCACAGCACTTAACAACAATGAAACAGTGGAAGCTAACCACACAACATTAGGAATCCAAGTAGTATTGAAATTATTCTGAAAATTTAGGTTGTCATTCTTCATGTCATAATGTGACTCAGATGTGCTAACATTCTACTTTTATAGAGCCCATGCTACCTACTTTCAGGAGGGAACAGTCGCTGGAGAAGGATGTCATGTTTGGTAAGAGGGAGGGTCAGAGAAAAAGAGGAAGCCCCCCCAACAAGATGGATCGGCCAGGTGGCAGCATTGATGGACTCAAATGTGGCAGGGGTAGTGAGGTTGGCCCAGGATCGGACACTGTTTTGTTCTGCTGTGCATGGGGTTGCTATGAGTCGGATCCGACTCGATGGCACCTGACAACAACAACATGCTACCGACTTGGACTCCCGATGTGGCATTGTAGGATAAGCACTGGACTGTGAACCAAAATGTCAGTGGTTCTGCAGTTCAAACCCATGCTTGCTCCTCGGAAATCCTATACAAGGTCACTATGAATCGGAACTGACTTGATGGCACTTAACAACAAAGCTGCCTACTTAGCTAATCATTATTAACACTTCCACTGTTATTGTTTTCCACTTGTTCCTTTTTGATGACATATCTTGAGATAAATCACTGCTGTTGTTTCACTCTTGGCCTTAGGAAGCCAGTGCTGAGTGACTAAATAGGGCTTTCTTAAGACTCTCTGAGCTGTTGCAACTGGAACACAGTCGACATTCTAAGTCTCTAGTCTTTTCTCTGAGAGATTGAAAAGATCTGACTGAGAGGGAAAAGCCACCAAGATCGTTGGCCCTGTGTCCACAAACACTTGTTTCTTCTTCTCAACACACTTACTGTGGACCTAAGTTTTGCAAGCAGAATTTCTGCCTTGTGGATTCCTCAGGGCCACAACGTGTTAATCTGACTACACAGGGTCACTATGAGTCGGAATTGACTCAAAGGCACTTAGCAACAACAACAACAACATCCAATCTGTTGGAGAGTGCTCAGAGGATGCAAAATCACTGAACTATTAGATAAAGCCAGAAATTATTAGGAATAAATGTGCAATCTTGTTTTCCCAGCAAAGCTGTGCTCTTTCCCCACTCCCGTCGAGAGACAACAAACACATTTTAAAGTCAAACTACTGTCCCATATAGTACTAGAAAATGAGCTACCTAGGCTGGAAGGCATAATACAATAGATTCAAACATGCCAATGATCATGACAATGGCTTAATTACTGGGCAAAATGTTGTTGCATACCATAAGGAACAAACTCCATGGCAACTAACAACAGCTTTCTAATTGTGGGAAGAACAGCAGGAAATGAAACTTCCAATCCCTGCTTTCTTAGTCCCTAAATTCTAGTTGACAAGGCTGATAATAAACAAGCTAAAAGTAAGCAAGATGTACAAAATGCTAGCTAGAGTTAATACTAAGGATAAAGTAAAGGCAGGACAGTGTAAAACAAAGGATGGGGAAATGTTGCAATCTTAATTAGGGTGGCCAGGAAAGAAGGTTTCACTGAAAAGGTGGTGTTTTAGAAAAGATTGAAGAGCAACAGTGGACCATGTGGACATGGGGGAAAACTACTACAGTCAAAGAAAGCAAATATATAATAGCAGGCCAACCGGCAGGGTTATAGGAGACAGACAAGAGTAACGAGAGACAGTAGGAGATGAAATCAGAGAAGTATTGAAGGCAGGTCATGTAGAGCTTGGTTTTTGTTGTTAAGTGCCTTTGAGTCAGTTCTGACTCATAGTGACCCTATATAGGGTTTCTAAGGACCTGCTGGTGGGATAGAACTATCAACCTTGCTGTTAGCAGTCCAGCGCTTATCTAACTGCCACACCAGTAATCACTGTAGGTCCTGTTGTTGTTGTTGTTGTTGTTGTTAAGTGCCGTCGAGTGGGTTCCGACCCATAGAGACCCTGTTTAGGGTTTCCGAGGGTGTAAATCTTTGCGGGAGTAGAAAGCCTGATCTTTCTCCCGTGAAGCAGCTGGTAGTTTCGAACCGCTGACCTTAAGGTTCACAGCCCGATTCGTAACCACTACACTACCAGAGTTCCTTGTAAATCTTTAAATAATTGCTTTTTATCCAAAGAAGAAATAGGATGCCATAGAAGGGTTTCTGGAGTCCTGGTGTGACACTGGTAAGCATTGTTCTACTAACTACAAGGTTGGTGGTTCAAACCCATGAGCTGCTCCTTGGAAACCCCATACAGGAATGCTCTGAATCAGAACCAACTCGATGACAACAGATGGGTTTCTGAGCAGAATATAATGTTTTGCAGGATTATTCTGACTGTTGCTTTGAAGTTAGACTAAAGGGAGTTAGAGTGGAAACTTGAGATGAGAGGTGATTGTGGCTTGGGTTTGGGTGGCAGCAGTGGAGTAGAGTCAGAGTTTGGACACACTTTGAAAGTATAGCCTAGATTGGACAAGGGTGTGACAGAAAGAGAGGCCAGGATGCTACACACACCGCTTTTAATGAACAACTAGGAGAAGGAAGTTGCCATTTATTGGGATGAGGTAGGTTTGGGAAAGACTATCAGAAGGTCAGCTTTAGAGATATTATGTTAAAATGACGCTTAGGTATTCAAATCACAATACTATGTAGGCAGTTGTATATTTATTTGGGTTGGAATCCAGGAGATAAATATCTGGGGGTCATCAGCATATAGAAAACATTTAAAAACACAAGACTAGATGTGATCACTAAGGAAACATGTAAATAGAAAAGAGGAACAGTCCTGAGCCTGGGAGGGCTCCAATATTTAGAAATAGCAGGGATGATAAGGGACCAGCAAAGGGAGAACATCAAGGGAGTGTGGTATTATAAAACGAGCAGACAAAGCATTTCATGGAGAAGAGAGTAATGATCTGGTAAGTGTGAACTAAGATGATGCTGTGGGTTAAATTGTGTCCCCACACCCAAAAGGAGTAGAATCCTATTCTTATACCAGTGTGTGTAATATACTAGAAAGTAATGTATGTACTGTACAGTGGAGAGGTTATATGATCAGTGAAGGTCCTGGTGGGGTCAAATACATTTGCAGTTCAGGGATCAATTGACTTTGAACAAGTTAAGCTTAATGCTGCAAAGCAGTCTACCACAAAGTTACCTTAAGATTCTTAAACTCATTTTTTGCTTCTTGGCTTGTAAAGATGAAGACATCATTCTGCAGGTCATATTCTGCCATTTTAGTGATAGTCATGTGGTCATTAATCTCCTTCCAGAGCAAAACATCATATCCAATATTCAAATCTCCATTAGCATCAAAATGAAATGAGTTCTTTCCATCAGTAAACGTCATATTTTTCAGCACATCCAGCAACTATAAAAAATGAAAAACAGATACACTGAATACACATTTAAATATATTCTTTATTCCAATTATAACAACCTTACAAGGTCAGTTTGAACCATAAGGTTAGCAGTTCAAACTCATCAGCTGCTCCTTGGAAATCCTATACAGGGTTGCTGTGAGTTGGAACTGACTTGACGGTAGTTAACAAAACAACAAGGAATATCACTTAATGTTGTTGTTGTTAAAATTAGAAGATTAAAAAAAAGACGTTTTTGATCATTGTGTGTGTTAATTGGTTAAGAGAAGTTCTTAACATATGGTGACAATTTAAGAATGAATTCTACTTGAGTTCTAGTCTCATTTCTGACAAAATCATGATGTGTGAATTTGAAAAAGCAAGTTAATTTATATGGATGTAACCTATAATATTGGAATCTGAGCTTCTGTATTTATCTACATCACAATATTTCAGATGTGTCATTTAATCCTGGGTTCAGATTTTGGCTCTACGTAGCTCATGGTGTGAACTTTATAGTTATAATTTATTTCTAAGCTTCAATTTTCTCAAAATGCAAATTATAGAGCTATTGTGAGGATTAAATATAATTATGCATGAGGAGAGTTTAGCTTGGTATATGGGACAGTTAAAATTTAGGTGTGGTGTTGTGGGCTAATGCACCGGACTACAAAGTAGCTTTGAACCACAAGGTCGGTGATTCAAACACACCAGTCAATCTAGTGGTTCGAAGCAACTTCGTAGTCAGAAACCCTATACAGGCTCGCTATGGGTCAGAACCTACTTAATTACACTTAACAACAACAATTATTATCTAATAGGGACATTATGCAAATAAGTAATATTCACATATTACTTAGTAATACTCAGATCTGTGATAAACTTTTATTCCATAACAACTCAGTGAAGCAGGTATATAGGGATTATCTACCTCTTTTTTTTTTTTTTAGATGAGCTCCCATGTACTAACAGCTGAAGGGATTTATCTGAGGACACACATCCTGACTTTCATTCTGGGGTCTTTCCATCAATAGTTAGCACTGTGGTAACTCATAGTGTTACTCCTTCCTACCCATGGACCACCTCTCATGCTAGATCATACAGAATCCTTAGTTTATTGCCAATTGCAATCATAGAATAATATAGTTACAAATTGTTTAAATGTAAGATTTCTTAGATTATATCAATACTAACAACAAAATTGTTTTGTAAATCTTTCAATATTGAATTATAACATTATTAGTTATAATATTATAACTGTGAAATATATATTTTTACTTTTCTCCTTCTTTTCCTTTAATTACGACTTCATTTTTTAAAAAGAGTTATTGATATAGGTTCACAAATACTAATTGCCACAATATTATTGATAAAGCACCAAAAAATTTGGCCAAATCCACAATAAAAACAGCAGCAGCAATGAAAACAACCTTGTGAGCTTGCAGCATGTGCAAATGACACGGTGTGATTGAAGCACTGTTGTAATTGGGTAATAGCTCTGACTGGAGTCTATTGTTCTTACTGTTAAGTGCCACTGAGTTGGTGTCAAGTCATAGGGACCTTATATAGGGTTTTTGAGACTTTAAATCTTTGTGGGTGCAAAACGCCTCATCTTTCTCACGCAGAATGGCTGGTTGACTCAAACCGCAAAACTTGTGGTTCACAGTTCAGTGCTTGTCCTATGGAGCCACCATGCACATTTGTTGTTGTTAAGTACTGTGGAGTCAGTTCCGACTCATAGTGACCATGCACAGGGTTTCTGAGGCTGCAAATCTTTATGGGAGCAGAAAGCCTCATCTTTCTCTCGCGGAACTGCTGGTAGTTTTGAACTGACGACCTTGAGGTTAGCAGCCCGATTCGTAAGAGCCGTCAACTCAGTTCCAACTCAGAGCGACTCTGTATAGGATATCCAAGGAACAGCTGGTAAGGTTGAACTATTGACCTTGTGGTTCACAGTTCAGTGCTAATCCTACAGTGCCACACCAATAGTCCATAGCTAACTATAGGGATACTTTTATTAAAAAAGAGTAGATTCTGCTAAAACACAGAGTATTTTATAGGTATTCTGGTATCACCCCCTCTGACACTGCCACCCAGTACAGTCCACACTCCCTGCTCTGATTCTTTCCATTGTAGCTAACAATATATTAATTCAACGTCTTTTTCACTATTTTTTCTTTCTGACTTCAAAGTAAACCCAATGTGCTTTCTGGAGTTATGAAAGAAAGCAGGACAATTCTTTCTATCTTTCTTTCTAGAGTCACACTGACTTGGCCTGAGTGGATGATACAAACTAGTAATTGTCATGGTCACTATTCCCAAAACAAGATGGACACAACATGGACACGACTACAAACAGCACCCTGCTCCTGGGGCATGCTCTGAGGAATGCCCCCGCCAGAGAAATTTAGTTGGTAGACGTAGGTAGCTGCTAGAACCCACCTTTTAAGACAATATTTTGGGAGTCATTTGGTGGTGGTGGAGCTGTGCTTTCTCTAGCGTTTCTCACGTCTGTTTCAGTGACTGAGCGCATAGTAAACACCAAGACAAAACAGTGGCCATTCGGTGGTTTTCAATCACTGTGATGAAGAGCCAACCTTTAGGTCAGTGAGAGTACTGGACCACTTGTGCCATCCAGGGAGTCCCAGTGTGCATAGGAAAGTGGCGTATAAATTATATTTCTATTTAATTTATTAAATGATTTTTATTTTTCAATCTCAGAGCACGAAATGAAAAATTACTTTTCTTGCTACCCAATTTGTAATGACCCAGCTGGGACAGGAAATGCTTTATATACAAATGAGTCAACCATAATGAATCTGTGCTGCAATGAAGTAACACCAGGGGGGAAAACAGGATTCATTCAATTCTAGTGCTGCCGTTAACTTGAATACATTGTTGTTGTTAGAACCCAGAGCTACCCTATGGCTAAGTAAATGCTGTCTCTGAGTTGACTATCCAAATTCTATGTATCTTTTGTTAGACTCTAAATTTATGGAATGAGGCAGAAGTTACTCTGTTTAGCTTCCTTTATAGTTAGTTAGTCTTTTATGAATTTTTACTTTAGTTTTTGTAAGTGACTAGAATATAAAAAAATGAATTAACATCTTACAATAAATCTATTCATCTAAAAGAGTCATGTCAGTGACTGAATATCATTTTAGAAAAAAATCTCTAAACCGGTCTAGAGATTTAATTAGGTTTTCTAACAAATATAAATGAGTGTTTTTCAAAATAAGCAAGGTTTAACATCTTGGTAGACTAACATCTATGATGAAATTAATCAAATTTTATTCTAGAAATTACCTGGTGGAAAAAGAACTGGAAGGGACCAAATGGGAAAAATAAGTAAGGATCTACTTTCAACATTGCCACCTCTATTACCACCACCACCACCACCACCACCACCACCACCAGACTGGTTTTTCTTCTAGTCTTTCCTTAAGCAATACACACGTAAGCCCCCGTAACTCTGTGCTTTATGAAGCAAACCCTCTTCTCATATCGTATTTGGACTATAATTTTCACCTGTTTTTTCCTGCATTTAATTAGGTTCCACAGGGTAAAGTTCTGACACATACATATTCTGTAAATAATGATAACATTGAATAATGTCAATAAACTAGCGCCATTCTCTGCTTGTTCTCACAGCAAAGAAGGTGGAGGCAAATAAAGCAGAGCCTTCAGTACTCGTTAAATATGACAGAACATTTACTTTAGATGAAAGTAAATTCTGACATTAACACTCTAGTTATTAAACTGTTACATGGTTTTGCCACTAATCATTTATTCGTTTTTCTTGGGAAACCCTGAAATTCATTATAAATGTGACACTAAAAAAAAAGAAGATCATGGTATTTTCAGATCCATTATTATACAAGTATATTTTTCCTCCATGCAGTAATGTTCTTTCTGTTTCTAAGAATGTAAGTCCTAAAGACCATACCAACTAAGTAATGGTTAATATTCTTTTCCATTTCCTTAACTTCTCTGCCATTCAGTCTAGTCTCACAAGTGAACTATGAAAAGAGGTGTTTATTTATATCAGTGAACTAGAGAATAGCAGAGAGCAGTCTTACGTGTCTGTCTTAGTGCCTAGCCTATGTCATTTTCTGTTGTGAAACTTTTTATGGAGAAACAGAAAGCATGCCAGACTATGTCTGGGACAGCTTGACTGCTAAGTATATGAGCAAATATGGACCAGACCCTTCCTTGCTAAAATCCCCTCTATCTGTAAATGGCTTCAAGTCTGGGTCACCTATATTATTCACTGCCACTTGCCCCTTCTTTAGGATGGAGTAAAGAACAGGAGTTCTGGGGACCTACAATAATAATGAGATTAAAAGTGTAGTGCACACTGTTAACAGGCTCAGCTCTTAACTAAAAGGTAGGAGGTTCAAGTCTAACCACAGCTTCTTTGGAAGAAAGGCCTGATGATCTACTTCCAGAAAAATCATTCATTGAAAACCCGGTAGAGCACACAGTTCAAGTCTGAAATACATGGGCTCACCGTGATTCAGAGGAGACTGTTGACAACCATTACTGTTGTAGCAGGCATTAGAAAGTATTAGTTATTTTTATCCTTCTCAATCCAAAATCACTCTTCCATATTCAAAATGGAAGTCTTAGTATTTCTTCTCCAGATCTCTGAGTCCTTGTATGGAGCTGTAGGGTAAACACTGGGCTGTTAACTCAAGCCTGGTGGTTCAAACCCACAGTTACTCCTTGGAAACCCTATACAGGATCGCTAGGAGTTGGAACCAACTTAACAGCACTTAACAACAACAACAACAACGGCCATCTCTACTTATCTCTATTTCCATCTCAATAAATGATACCAATTGCTCAAACTTGAAATAATTTGCAACATCTTTGCTACTCTATGTTTGTCATCCTTTAAATTCAATTTATATTCAGATGTTCTTTATCCTTCTTCTTAACTTCCATATAAACATCTCCTACCCTTTTTGTCATACTAGTAGCACAAGGCACCATTCTCTTATGTTGGGATTACGAAATTGATCTTGTTCCCTTCAGTTATGTCCCTTTAATCAATTCACACTGGAGCCTGAATTCTGTTTTTGAAATAGTAAACAGCTTCTGCTTAAAAAGCTATCCTTAATTAGCTCCCCTTTGCTTTATCAAGTCCAAGCTTTTCAAGATAGTTTAAAGCCTTTCTATTTAAAGGTATGAACCAACAGTATCAACATTATTATCAGTACCAGGGGCTTGTTAGAAACACAAACTCTCAAGTCCTACCCAAGAACTGCTGAACTATCATCTGCATTCTAACAGAATCCTAGGCAATTCAACTGCACATCAAGGTTTGAGATGCTATAGTTGACATGAGTCCTGGTGTGGTTCTGTAGGATAAACACTGGATTGCTAACTAAAAAGTCAGTGGTTCAAACTCACCAGTTCCTCCTTGGAAACCCTACATGAGTAAGACCAAAACTATTGAAATATATTAAGAAAAGTTTGACTGAATTTAGGGGAGAGTGAAGAGTGGTGAGATAAGAAAGATAATTTACAATTTATATTCATCTTCCATTAAAGTTTTATACTGAAAACACTCTTTCAACCAAGCATTAAAAAAATATAGATGTATATATATGGAGAGAGAGAGACTTGACAGCACTTAACAACAACACAGTTGGCAAGACTTTAATGCCATGTCCTACACTAATTCTTCCCATCTAATTTACTTACAGTGCCCATGCAAAAGTCCAGTCCTATGGTACCACATTGTGGCTGTGAAAATGCCATGCTTTTTCTCTTCTCTGGTACTTTGCGAGAATATTTTTTGTCTATCTCCTATCCGACTAATTATATTCATCACTAATTACCCCTATGTATCACCCCAAGGGAAGGGGGTAAAAATAAAACTAAGATCACTGGTGATATCCTCACAAATATCTGAGAAACATTGAAAATCTTTTGAAGTAAAACAAGTGGGACTGTTCTGCCCATGGGTACTGTTCACAGACATCACCCAAATCTCAAGCCAAAGTACTGTCCTCAAGCACCGGAAAAACTAAGCCCTTCTGAACAATCATTCAGAAAATGTCATTGAAATATTAGTGAATTTTGCTAGGGCATCCAAAAACAATCCTTAAGAATATCTCTTTGGTCAAAACCAAAAACTGTAGATGATTGCTTGCGTTATTTGCTTGGTTGAATCTGATACAAATATGGCTCACGCACATTTGATCAAAGGAGTACGTTGCCGGCAGGCCTCCTTGCCAATCTGTTGCTGTTTGTTTTTAGATTAACAGTCTCAGGAGCATCAAGAATGACCCAGACTCCTGGTGTTTAATAAAACAGTGGGGTAGATTCCACTTAGATTATTCATTCTCCAGTCTTTTTCCCAGAAGGTTTGAGATTATTCCTGATATACTTTCCCAGCTCTTTAGGAAATATAAGGCAATTCTCTTTATGAGGCTCATTAGCCCTCTCACCTTTACTCATGCAGTCCTATTCTTCCTCACTTCCTCTTAAATTCTCATTCCTAGAAGTCTATGGACTGGTTTCATTACATGGAATGAATGTAGCTCGCATTTTAAAATAAAACAATACATCAACAATATACAAAACACTCTGTGGCGATTTACCCAAAAGTAAGCTGGTCCTTACATTCAAACCTTGGAACTTGTTTTTGGGTGTTTAGCGTAGTGGTTGCGAACCTTAAGGTCAGCAGTTTGAAATTACCAGCCGCTCCGGGAGAAAGATGAGGCGTTCTGCTCCCGTAAAGATTTACAGCCTCGGAAACCCTGTACAGGGTCGCTATGGGTTGGAACCGACTCGAAGGCACTTAACAACAACAACAACTTAAAATGGCAATAGAACAAGTAGTATGTTCTGGATATCCACTTATACCCTCAGAACAATTGAGCTTTATTCCATTTTACCTTCTTTTCCCTTACAAACTTAAAATAAGCATATGTTTAGAAGATGATTCTTCCTCGAGGGGCATATGTTTGTCTTTAAATATACACTATTGAGAAGTTTAGTTATCTCTAATGAGTAAACTTCATCATTTAAGAAGCAATTTATTTTTAAATGCCTTGCTCACAGACATCAAAACGCACAATGAAAATTTTTTTGTTAAATAAGACCTCATCTAGCCTTAATTTGAATTTCCCCAAGTTAATCAGAAAGAAGAATAGAAAAAACTTCCATTATACACAATCGATTGTTCATGTAAATGTGTATCTTTGGCATTGCTATGTTCACCCAATAAAATTCCTTTGAAGAAGGCTGATGTTCTAATGAGACAAATCAACAGAAACACAGTGAAAAGCAGTGGACTCGAAGTCAGACGGCACAGACTTGAGTTTTATTTCTGGTACTTTCTAGCTTTAGTTTCCTCATCCATAATAATCAGAAATAATAATAGTAATAAAAACAACCAAACTTATTGCCGTTGAATCAATTCTGACTCATGACAACCCTGTGCATTACAGAACTGAAGTATTTCATGGGGTTTTCTTGACTGGAATCTTTACAGCAACATATGACTAGGACTTTCTACCAGATGCCACTAGGAGGATTCAAACCACCATCCTTCTGGTTAGCAGTCAATCGCAAACGACCTCTAGGGACCTAGTATAATCAAAAGGCTTATTAAATTTGCCTGGTCTGGTAGCGTAGTGGTTACGAATCGGGCTGCGAACCTTAAGGTCAGCGGTTGGAAACTACCAGCCCCTCCGTGGGAGAAAGATGAGGCTTTCTACTCCTGTAAAGATTTACATCCTCGGAAACCCTGTACAGGGTCGCTATGGGTCGGAACTGACTCGACGGCACTTAACAACAACAACAACAATATCTGTGTTTGTTAAGAGCATTAAAAGGGTTAATTCATATGAAGCTCTGGGAAAACTGCATAGTCTAACACAAATCCATATATACAAGGAAAATAGCAGTGTCAGCAGGATCTTTTTGGGAAGGAAAAGCACACAACTTGGATGGCTCAGAGTGGAGGTGAAGATAAAAGGACAACTATCTGTTATACCCAAGAACAACAAAATTCAGGTTATTCAGACACTGAAGTTGTCTGCTTATAAAAGGAAAAAGTTAAAAGCAGTTAATATGACTCTATTGCATGTTAAGGGAGGGAAGGAAACAGAGGAACGATGACAGGGAAATTTTTTCAGTTGTTTGAATTGTTACCTCCCATGGTTGAAAGGCGTTGGAGTTCTGACAGTCTCGAGTTTGGCACAGATCCCGAACGGCATAACCAAGGGCAAACACTGCAAGCTGGATACTGTGAACCAGTCCTGGCTCAGTGTAATCCCACAGGAAGTCATTTCTCAGGGAGAAATTCCTTTCAATAGTCTTGTAGACCAAAGTCCCCAGAGAATGGTTGGAAATACATTGACTCAAATCACTGTCCTCAGCATGTGCACAGGCAGACAAGAGCATGATGTATTCATTTAAGGGTTTGTTTTTGTCCTTGGGGAACATATGCAGATTTTGAAGAAAGGAATGGAAAGAGGACATATTCCCTCTTCTAAAGGTAAACCCCACAATTTTACCCATCCTTTTAACATTTGGAATGGTGGCAATCTTGGTGGCAGTGGACCAGTTATCACTAGCAATCCAGATCTTATTTATATTCTTTTCAATGGCTTTATTGAAGAGATTGAAAACATGGAATTGTCTCAGAAAAACCACAATAACGTTAACTTGGGCTTCTGCAATGATTTTCTCAAGTGTCTGATTGATCCTGACTTCAATGGTATTATCTGAAAGGAATGCTGGGAAAATCTCTTTGAAGGCTATACACACATTATTTGCAGCAGCCTGGATTGCAAAATTGTTGAGAGCCAAACGTCCGTAGTCATCATCTGTGGTTATCATGCCAACCCAGTTCCATCCAGATTCCTGAATCAGGTGGGCTATTGCTTTAGTTTGATAGAAGTCACTGGGAACGGTCCGTAAAAATGAAGGAAAGCGAACTTTGTCACTTAGGATTTCTGCAGTTGATTCATAGCTCACCTGGAAATTGACAGAATCTTTAAGTTATGGTATTGCTAGTTCTAAGTGACTGTTCATGATTGGTGGCCCTGTCTGATTTCTGTAAGTACCTTTCCCCAAATTCTCTGGTACATTTAGTCCTTTACTTCCATAAACTTCTATTTTGCAAATAGCTCAAGTCAGGATACTTACCACCTTACATACATTGTTCTAGAATCATTTTTTTGTGTATAGTATAAGCCCATTAATGGTTCAGGACCTGTCTTATATCTCTCTCTGTATCTCTATATCCACCCATAGCTATCTTGCATCTCAGGCCATGGCTAATAGCAGATCTTATCTAAATACTTTGAAGAAAAAAGGCAGTCAGACGAATAAGTAAAATGTATTTTGGGACCTCTATTATGCTCAATGTTTTACGTAATTTAGAACTTTGGTGATTTTGTTCTTGGTTAAATTAATCATCCATTCAAATAACCTAGTCCAGAGGTTAGAAAACTTTTTCTATTGAGCCAGTTAGAAAATATTTAGGCTTTCAGGGTCACATGTGGTCTTTATCATAAATCTTTGCATTTATTTTATTTTTTTATAACCCTTAACAATATAAAAACAAAACCCAAAAAATTAGCCTTGTAGCTTAAGAACTCTAGAATTTAACAGTCATATTTGACCCACAGACTGTAGTTTGCTCACTACTGGCCTAGTCAAATAAGCATCAACATTTGGAGAGATCCAAGGTGTGCAAAGCTTTGCTTGATTTACAGTTTTGGTGGTTTTATTACAGGTGGGATTATGACCTTTTGGATCTGCATTAGCACTGTATCATTTGCTCAGTCTGTACTCAGTTGTTTTGTTTTTTTGCTATTTACGGCAGTTACTAAGTTTGGTGAAAGGACAATAGACTTTGGAGTAAACCCAGTGTTAATTAGCATTCTGACTCCAGGAATGCTGCTGTGTGCTATTGAGTTGGTTCTGACTCACAGCGACCATGTATAGAGTTTTTGAGGCTGTTAATCTTACAGGACCAGAAAACTTCATTTTTTTTCCCACTGAGTGGCTGGCAGATTCAAACTGCTTACCTTGCAGTTAGCAGCCCAACTTGCAACCCACTACACCACCAGAGCACCTTACTTAATTCATGGAAAAAATTGATTTGAAAGATAATGACATTTTTTTCACAAACTTTTTGAAGCCCACTTTTATTTACTTATAAAATGATAGGGTTGATTTGACTATTAAAGGAGAAAATTTAAATGAATACTAGAGTATAGTGGACATTTACTGAACCCTAATTCTCTTCCCAGTACTGATATTGCTCTGCTTGGCTGCATTGTATGAACTAGATCCATGTCAAGTCAGTATTGTGTGTAAAGTGTTCCTATTCCTTCGAAGTTGTCTATCATGGAAATTACATTTTTACCATAGTCACTCATTGTTAAATGAGTTCACTTTTTTTTTTTTTTAACTTTCCACTTAAATTAGTATTGTGTATATGCCAGAAATTTTGAGCCAAAGCCTTATCTTTGATATGATTGGGGAATACTTCTTTTTGCTTTTAAGGCTTAAGCGTTTGTTTCTGATGCAGCCTTTCTAAAGTCTCTTGTATTCTTGCCCATCTATATTTTAACTGTTATACTTGTATAAAACATAATAAAATCAAAGAAAGACAATCATCCAACATGCTACCAGTCCTAATATGTACTTATCTCCTATTCTCATTCAATCTTTGACCATATATACCCATTTTAATTAGTAGCCCTGGTATTTTGTGGGTTATGCATTTGGCTGCTAATCACGAGGTCATTCGTTTGAATCCAGCAGCTGCTTTGTGGGATAAAGATGAGACTTTCTGATCCTGTAAAGACTGACAACCTTGGAAACCCTATGTGGGATTTTTATGAGTGGGAACTAACTTAACAAAACCACCACCGCCACCCATTTTAATTAATTACAATTTAAAAATAAAATTCACTTGAATTTATGCCATAAGTACTTTTTGTAATACATCATAAAAAAACCCAAACCAAACACATTGCCATCAACTTGATTTTGCCTCATAGTGATAGGGCTTCTGAGACTGTAAATCTTTATGGAAGAATACAGCCTCATCTTTTCCCCCACGAAGCAGCTGGTGGGTTTGACTCACCAACCTGTGGTTATCAGCTTAATGCCTAACCCACAGCACCACCAGGGATCCTGAAATACCATAGTTAGCACACTTATCTCTTTAGATTAGCAGTTTTTGGTAGCTTATATCTTACTGGATTTCTAGCTCTTTTTCATTTTGCAATTAAAAACAACTACTGTGAGTATTACTTTTGCTTTTATATAGTTTTCATCATTTAAAAAAACATTTTCTTATCTACTTGTCTTCTTACATGAAGATCATTAAATATAATTTTAAAATTTCTCAAAAATTCAGAGCTTTCTTTATAAACTGTCACTAGGCTAGACTATGAGGTTTGTTTATGGTTATATCATTTATTTATTCAAGTTCCAAAGAGGTATATAATTTGAGTTCTCATGCACATGTAAGGAACCCTGGTAGTGTAGTGGATTATGAGCTGGGTTGCTAATCTCAGAGTCAGCAGTTCAAATCTACCAGCTGCTCCATGTGAGAAAGATTAGGCTTTCTGCTCCTGTAAAGATTTACAACCTCAGAAACACTATACAGGATTGCTATGAGTTGGAACCAACTGAGTAACACACAACCACCACCATACACACACACACACACATATATATATTTCCTATTTCTCACTTCTATCAGGTGGCTATTTCTTGATGGATGGCAATTAACTTTTGATTTCTAATCTTCTTGGGTTTAGAATTCTGGGATCTGAGCAAGTTACACACTGGTGTGGTATGAAGACAAGTCGACTCGGAATGAAAGCCAAGGGGACTAGCTTGACTCTCAGTAATATATGAGAACTTAGTGCATGGAGTCTTCATTATCATTTTATTTTTTCAGAAGTCTTTTTTTTTTTTTTTACTTATATCTGGGCTATTAGCTTTTGTTTTAGGGATAAATATCTCTAACGTCTCTGCTGAAACTCTCCCATGACACTCAGAACAATTACAAAACACAGTGTGACTTTAAAGATGCTCTATGACTCTGCTCTTCCCTATTTCTACAAATGAATCTCTTAATATGTTCCTTTCTGCTCAAATTTATATAGTCATGTTGTTGTTGTTAAGTGCCATCAATTCGGTTCCAACCCATAGAGACCCTGTATAGGGTTTCCGAGGAGCAGCTGATGAGCTTGAACCACCAATCTTGTGGTTCAAACCTACTTTGCAGTTCAGTGTATTAATTCACAGTACCACACCAGGATTGTTATGTAGCCATGTTTTATAGTTATGTGCCGTGGAGTCGGTTCTGACTCATAGCGACCCTGTACAGGGTTTCTGAGGCTGTAAATCTTTACAGGAGCAGAAAGCCTCATCTTTATCCCACGGAACAGCTAGTAGTTTTGAACTGCTGAATCTGAGGTTAGAAGCCCGATTTGTAACACTACTCTATCAGAGACATTTCAAAATATTATTTGGATATTCCAAACTTTGCACTTGCTGCTTCCTCTGCTTAGACACTCTCCACTCTTCCTCCATTTTCCTTGGCTGCCCTCCTCACTAAAGTTTCAGGCTCAATATTTCTTCCTTAGGATGACTTCCTTGACCACATACTCCTTTGACCCTGACTCTTTTCTCTTTTCTTCGTATCATCCAATGGATGATATCTTGGAAGAATGTGTTGAGGTTGTCAGACATTTGTTTCTTTATCAAATCATGCTGAAAACAGCCAGAAACTAGACCTGACAGACTGTGGGATAGCTGCTCATAAGGCACATCCTTTGTTTGACTGATGAGAAAGATTAAAGTAAAAACAACTTCCTAGCTACTTTTCCAAGGTCGCCATGATCCTTCATAATAATGAACAAAACCTACCTGTGGCATGAGCTGCAAATTCAACAGCCTGGAGACAGCCATGCTTATTTCAGAGTAGCCAGCGCCTATGACCGCCTTAACCCTGGGCATGTAGCTGGAAGAGTCACACTTGAACTCCACAATTTCTCTGGAGCAGTTGAGTTTAGAAAGAAACCTGAGCGTGGCTGCCATTGCCATGGTGACTTCTGTACAAGTATCATAGATTTCATAGCCCAGTTTGACACCAGATAATAATGTTGAGTTATTGATCATCTCAATGCTGTGTATCATTGCAAGAGTTTGAAGAAAGATTGATATTTCAAAGCTGTTGGAAGACAAATATGTTTGGGAATCAGAACAATGAAAACGTTTCTATTGGCAAGTTTAATGTCTCATTTTATTCACACCTCTGCTTATAATTAGAAATTTCTAAAAAATGAAGTGCATTGATTGAAGACTATACATTTTATTTATTTAAAAATAATTTTTAAATAGAAATCTATGTAAAGCACATTTGTTATTGTTGTTTGTAAGTGTCATTGAATTGGTTCTGACTTATAGCGACTCAGTATAGGGTTTCCAAGGAGGAGATGGTGGGTTTGAACTGCTGACCTTGTGGTTTGTATTTCAGTGCTTATCCCACAGCATCACACCAGGAGTCCACATTTTCTTAAATGTAGTATATGAAATATTATAAAATCTTTTCTTGATGAATTTGGGGATTATTTTGAACATTAGTTTAGTAGTCTCCAATATACAAAACTAATTTAAAAATTATATTTATAGTTAGATCTCAGCATTTTATTACTGTCAAAGCACTTGAATTTTAGATTCACAAGTCGCTATTTTAATTTTGTCACTCAAATCTCTCTTAGTTGGAAACCAGATAAGTAAGTTTCTTAAGAATTACATGCAAAATAGTCTCTGGGTAACAACCTTCTACATAAAGTGCATTATTTTAGTTCTGAAGCACAGCTATCGCCACATCCAGAGGACTTCCCCCCACTTCTTGATTTGTGAATGTTTGAGAACATTTGGTTGTTTGATTATTGATTTACTTTTCATCTCATCCACCACTGGAAACAAAGGGTTACAAACACTGCCCAATATATAGTAACAGTTCAAAAAAACATTTTTAAATTAAAAAGTGGGGTATAATTAATCAGGCTTTAGCAGTCTAAAAGTTTCCTTTTAGTTCCTTAATAGTAATGATAAATAAAATCATTTGAATTAAACTATCATTGTGGACCATCTAAATATGAAGTTTGGTGGATGAGCATTAAAATTTTAAGTTTTAAGAACCAAAGAAGAGGAAAAGTTAAGATTTTAGGCTGCCTGATAATTATATCATGATATTTTCCTAATCCTTTTCATTTAAGCCACCTGAGTCAGGATCTGTCTAGTATATTCATCTCTCTGTAGTTTCAGTGCCTAAATGTGTTCTTTGAGGCTTTACTCACCCAACACACTTCTGGATTTCTGGTTCTCTGGGAAATTCTTCTGAGGACAGCATTTTTTCATGAATGGCAAACAAACCTCCAATCATGACATGTCCTGGAGAAGTGGCAGCCACAAAGTCATCAGGGGTCTGGCAAGTCTGGGAGGTAGCAAGAATAATCACAAAACAGGTAATTTGTATGACCAATAATGCCATGATTCTCTTTCATTTGCTTGCTTCAGGAGCATTCTCAGGAATCATTAAGGTCACAGAGTACTCACCTGGTTCCTATTTCACCTGTAAACACTCTGTAAGATACATGACAGTGCCAAGGGTCAGAAACACTAGACTATTCAGGTACTTGATGATAGTCTAAACAGTTCTTGTACCAGTGAGCACAGAGTAGAGTGGAGATGCATGACAGGAGTTACCTTAGGTTGATGCTAATAGAATTAAAAACCTAAGCATCACTATGTTACAGTATGCTCACTCCACTGATATGATGACAGCATAACTCAAAAGCATCAACTCTTCTATGATCTTCCTTATTCACTGTTCAGCTTTCTCACGCATATGGGGTTATTGAAAATATTATGGTTTGGGTCAAGCACACCTTAGTCCTCAAGCTGATATCTTTGCTCTTAAACACTTTAAAAAGGTCTTGTGTAGCAGATTTGCCTAATGCAATACATCGTTTGATTTCTTGACTGCTGCTTCCTTGAGTGTTGATAGTTGATCCAAGAAGAATGAAGTCCTTCACAACTTCATTCTGTTCTCCATTGATAAGAATGTTGTTTATTGGTCCAGTGGTGAGGATTTTTGTTTTCTTTACACTGACATGCAATCCATACTGAAGGCTGTGGTCTTTGATCTTCATCAGTAAATGTCTTAAATCCTCTTCATTTTCAGCAAGCAAGGTTGTAGCAGGTTGTTAATGAGTCTTCCTCCAAACCTGATGCCACGTTTTTCTTTCCTATAACCCAGCTTCTTGGATTATTTGCTCAGCATACAGGTTGATTAAGTATGATGAAAGAATACAACCTTCGTACACCTTTCTTAATTTTAAACCACTCACTGTTCCCATGTTCTGTTCAAACAACTGCCTCTTGGTCCACGTACAGATTCTTCATGAGCACAATTAAGTGTTCTGGAATACTCATACTTCACAATGTTGTCCATAGCTTGTCATGATCCACACAATCGAAAGCCTTTGTGTAGTCAATAAAGGACGGTAAACATCTTTCTGATATTCTCTGCTTTCAGCCAAGATCCATTGGACATCAGCAATGATATCCCTCATTCCACGGCCTCTTCTGAATCTGGCTTGAACCTCTGAAAGTTCTCTGTCAATGTATGTTTGCAGCCATTTCTGTATTACCTTTAGTAAAACTTTACTAGCATGAGATATCAAAGAGATTGTCCGATGATTTCTGCATTCAATTGGGTCACCTCTCTTTGGAATGCGCATAGATATGGATCTCTTCCTATCAGTCAGTCAGATAGTTGTCTTCCAAATTTCTTGGCAGAGATGAATGAGTGCTTCCTGTGCCGCGTCACTTTCTTGAAAGCTTTCCATTTTTATTCCATCAATTCCTGATGCCTTGTTCTTTGCCAATTCCGTCAATACACCTTGGACTTCCTCCTTCAGTATCATTGGATCTTGATCACATGCTACCTCTTAAAATGGTTGAACTGTAACTATTTTCTTTTGGTACAGTGACTCTGTGTATTCTTTCCATCTTCTCTTGATGCTTTCTGCATCATTCAATAATTTGCCCAGAGAATCTTTGAATAATGAAGGTTGATGCTTAAATTTTTTCTTCAGTTCCCTCAGCTTGAGAAATGCTGAGTGTTTTGGATTTTGTGTTCTTCCTTTTTGGTATTCTGATTCCAAATCTTTGCACATTTTTTGTAATATTTGGCTTTATCTTCTCGAGCTGATCTTTGAAATTTTCTGTTCAGCTCTTGGACCTCCTCATTTTCTTCCATTTGCTTTAGCATCTCTGCGCTGGAGAGCAAGTTTCAGTGTCTCTTCTGACATCGATTTTGACCTTTTTCTTCTTTCTTGTCTTCTTAATGACTTTTTGCTTTCTTCATGTATGGTGTTCTTGATGTTCTTCCACAACTCTTCTGGTCTTCAGTCTTTAGTGTTTAATGTATCATATCTGTTCTCCAGATGATCTCTAAAATCAATGGGATATATGAAGGTCATATTTTGGCTTTCGTGAACTTGTTTTCATTCTCTTCAGCTTCAGTTTGAATTTGCATACGAGTAATTGATGGTCTGTTCCACAGTCTGCCCCTGGCCTTGTTTTTACTGATGATGTGGAGCTTTTCCATTGTCTCTTTTCACAGATGTAGTCAATTTGATTTCTATGTATTCCATCTGGTGAGGTCCATGTGTATAGTCATTTCTTAGGCGGTGTAAAGAAGGTATTTGAAATGAACAAATCATTGGTTTTGCAGAATTCTATCATGTGTTCTCCAGCATCATTTCTGTCACCAAGACCATATTTTCCAACTACTGATCCTTCCTCTTTGCTCACAATCTTTGCATTCTGATCACCAGTAATGATCAAAATGTTTTGATTTTATGTTTGATCAATTTCAGATTGAAGAAGTTGGCAGAATTCTTCTATTTCATCCTCACTCGCTCTTGAGATTGGTGTGTAAATGTGAATAATAATGATATTAACTGGTTTTCCCTGTAGGCGCATGGATATTATCCTATCACAGATAGCGTTGTATGTCATAACTGATCTGGATATGTTCTTTTTGACAATGAATGCAACACCATTCCTCTTCAATTTGTCATTCCCAGCATAGTAAACCATGTGGTCGTCAAATTCAAAATGGCTAATAGCTGTCCATTTCAGCTCACTAATTCCTAAGATATTGATGTTTATGCGTTCCATTTCATTGTTCACAACTTCCAATTTTCCCAGATTCATACTTCGTACATTTCATGTTTCAATTATTAATGGATATTTACAGCTGTTTCTCTTCATTTTGAGTTGTGCTTCATCAGCAAATGAAAGTCCTGCGGGTTTTTCTCCTGTGTGCTTTACACCATTCACGTCATCATGGTCAACTCCACTTTGAGGAGGCAGCTCTTCCCCAGTTGCATTTTGAGTGACTTCCAACCTGAGGGGCTCATTTTGCTGCAGTATATCTGACAGTGTTTCTCTGCTATTCATAAGGTTTTCAGTGACTAAACATTCGGAGGTAGTTCATCACTCTTTCTTCCTAGTCTGTCTTTGTCTGGAAGCTCATCTGAAACCTGTCCACCATGGGTGACCCTACTGTTATTTAAAATACTGGTGGCATAGGTTTCAGAATCAAAGCAACTCACAAGCCACCACAGTATGACAAACTGACAGATCAGTGGTGGTGGGTCATGTTGGCATCCCTTAAAAAGCACAATGTACTGTCTTCAGGAGGGAAAGTTTTCCTACTTTAGCCACAAATAGTTGTACATTTCCAAAGTTATCACAATCAAGACCCAAAGGCTTCAATGTAGTTTATATAATAAGCTTTCTAGAAAAATACCATCCTGGTTTTGCTTTTCTTGAAAAGGCCTCCTTAAAAAATGAAACACAGTAAGTTCAGATATTTATAGCTTTCAGTTTGCATGTGATAAAAATCATTAGGTTTTGTGGTGCTAGGCTAAACAAAAAATGAGATAACACTTGCTTGATGCAATGTTTTATTTCTGACAAGAAGGGTCTGTCATAGATCATTGGCATATCCACAGTTATATTGTTTTACTATTACAAATTTGGGACTAATTTCAGGCTACATGTTCTTTTTTTATGAAAAACTTTTTATTGTCAATTGAATGAAGGTTTACAGACAAGATCATCAGTTTTTCATTCAACAAATCCTACACTTTGTTTCATCTCAATAATTGCAATCGCCTCCATGCAACAACAGTTATTCTGCTTCCTCCCTGTGGCTCCTATTTGCATTCAACCACCTTCCCCTTCCCATATCTTCTCAATTTTGTCCATAGGAAAAGTTGCCCTTTTGATTTGAATGACTGACCATTCCATGGTGAGCATAGTTTACTGGAGTTGTTGCCTCCACCCACCCCCAAATACCTATCTACTGCTTGGCTGAAACCTGAGCCAAGAGGATGAGTTCCTTTCCAGATACGATGGATAGTTGAGGGCCAGAGTCTCAGGTTCCCCCAATCTCTTTCTGATCAGTAAGCTGGGTCGTTTTTGTTTTTTAACTTTTGTCTTGCTCATATCTTCTCCCACTCTATCCAAGACCCTCTAGTGTGATCACTTTCAAAGCTCTCGGTAGTGGTAGCCAGGGACAGTCTAGTTATTTGGGTCTCAGAGCTGTGGAGACTGATGTTCACATGTCCCATCAGCTTAATTGATTACATTCTTACTACTCTTCTTTCTTCCGAACATGGAAAGACTAACACCTGCAACTTAGATGTGTCCTCATGAGTTTTCAAGATCCCAAGTGCTACTCACTAAAGGAGGATGTAGAACATTATCTTTGTCAACTATGTTATGTCATGGTGTCCCCTGAGAGTATGATCCTGAGTCCCCAGGCCTAGCAACTCATTGTCTAAGATGCTTGATGATATCTAAGACGTTTTTATCCTTTTGCCTACTTATGCTTCACCACATTCATAGTTGTATTTGCAAGAATACATGTACAAGTATTCTCTTTCAAACTTTTATGTATTTGTGAGATATATAATTACATATCCAATTCTTCCTACCCTACCCATTCAACCTATGTCTCAGTCCATGTATCGACACGTAGAACACTGTAGTTCCAAGGTTGTATTTTTATCACTGTTAACCTCTATCCTCTTTAGCTCATACATACCTCCCTGTGACTTCATTATCTTCTTCATTCTTCTGCCACTCTCCCTCTTCTTGTATATTGCCCTCCCCCTTCTTGCATATTGGTCTTCCTGTCATGCTAGATAAAGTGTGACTATCCTCTAGCTAATGAATTATTCTCTCTTCCCTCCTACCCCTGCAACCATCAAAGAATGTTTGTTTTAGTATGAAATATTTTCTTAAGTTTTTACAATAATGGTCTCATGAAATATCTGTCCTTTTGTGATTTATTAATTTATTTCAGCATAGTGTTGTTCACCAGGTTCATCCATGTTATGAGGTGTTTCACAGATTCATTGCTATTCTTCAGAGTCTTGTAGTATTCTGTTGTGTGTATATGCCAAAGTTTGTTTATCTATTCTTCCACTGGTGAGCATTTAGACTGTCTCCAC